CAAGATCAAGCCAAATGTGGCTGTGAACGTGGCATACAATAATCAATAAATTGAATATAATTTAGGTACGGTAAATCGTATCATAATAATTCATAGGTCAAAATGAAGCTTATAATAAGATGAATATAGATATACACAATTTAGTTACTCAATAGTTAAACAATAAGGATATACATAGAACAATTGTCCTTTAATAGGTCCCAGAAGTTACCTGTACTTATATCTTCGTTAGGATATAACAGATACATGAATCGATTTCAATGCTTTACAGTTCATCTTATTTATTACAGTCTGAAAATTATCTATGACATAAATTTTGTTATGAAACCATTCAATGAAAACCATAAAAGTTTTTCTAACTGCCTACATACATAACAACATCAATAAATCACGTGATTTCATTTGTATACAAAAATGAAAAAATGAAAAATTTTTTTCTTCTTTGAATTAAATTCACTTAGTATTGTTTGTTTGAATCTTCCCATTGATGTTTAGGTTTGCAACTGGTCAGTCTCTAATTGGCATATATGCATACTGTGCGTATTGCCTCGATATAGCCTAAATTCATAACCATGATAAGCAAAGATGGATAAAGGCTAGCAGTGGAATCCAGTTTGACGCGCGTTTCGTCCTATTTGGGACTCGTCAGCTGAATGTATCTGCATTACAGAGTTGATGTTAACTCTGGTACTCGAACTCAGTACCTTTCGCTTCAAGCGCCATCACGTTATTCACTCGGCTACTGAGTCCCAAAGTGAACATCAACTCTGAGATGCAGGTACATTCAGCTGACGAGTCTGAAATAGAACGAAAAGCGCGTCAAACTGGAATCCACTGCTAACCATTACCCATCTTTGCTAACAATTCTTTGAATTAAACTTAAAATGAAAAAAAATAAACAAAATTATTACTACACTAAATTAAAAAAATTCCATAATAACAACCTAAGTATATTTTATTTAATTTAAATTTTATATCCGTAAAATATTTTATTAATTATGTTATTATAGGTGAATGTTTTTTTTAAAACTCAGTCATATACTCATTAATTGAAAGTAACAAATTTTTCCGAACAAACAAACAACAAATATACGTAAAATTAATTAGTCTAGAAAAATAATGGTTAGAAAAATTCAAAATCTGGTGTATTTTTGTTCTCACCTATTTTTTTTTCTGTTTTTCTGTTTTCTGTTTTTCTTTTTTTTTTAGAATTTATATTGCACCATCTTCGTGTACGTTTAGTAAACACTTTCCAAAAAAGGAAAAAAAACTAAAAGCCTCGTTTATACGTATATTCATCAAGATTAGAATGAATAGCTTGACAAAAATTGAGCGCTGAATGTAGAGAAGTCATTATATGTGAAAATTATATTTGGAATAATCTCAGCGATTAAAATTTCTTGTTGAAAGCATGAGTCAATTGAAGCTGGACCACCATGGAAAACCTGGAAGCATTGGACAGACATTTCGTCCTATTGTGAGATAGGAACTCACTGAAGACAATTGGTGAACGGTTGCTCAACTTCGTGGATTGGTTGAAGTTAGACAATAACACCGTTGGATGACAGGTGGTCTATCGGTTAATTGCTCTGACGCGAGACTGGTAGATCCTGGGTTCGAATATTGCGGGGCGAGGTCGTGGATGCGCACTGCTGAGGAGTCCCATAATAGGACGAAACGGCCGTCTAGTGCTTCCAGGTTTTCCATGGTTGTCTAGCTACAATGGACTGGTGATTTCAACTATGAAAATACTGAAATCTCCACAAAACCTCTTCTGATTATTAATGAATGATATTCGGTGTGGATATGTTTCTATATGAAGGAAAATATAAAAGTGCCAATTTAAGGTTGAAAAATTGTTTCTGAATGATTGAGTTGCAAGTAAAAATGAGAATTATCAAGTACATAATTATAATGTTAAAACATAACTCATATTGATTACAGTTAAAATAACGATTCAGGTGAAATAAACAGGTTGATTAAAGAAAAAAAGGGTTCAATTACTTGTTAATGAATATTTGCCAAATGGTTGCTAGCTGAATACCATCCTTTCTGTTTAGGCTGTTCTTATTGGCTGAGATTATTTCAAACATAATTTTCACATATAAAAACCCCATGTTACTCTTTTATTAATCTTCAAAAATTTTCTCATAGATGACTTTTTAAAGGAAAAATTATTTGACTCTTCTCAAATCATTAGACGATTAAATTAAAGTAATCATTTCTTACTACTATTAGAAGTTTGCTGAGATTATTGGTTTTCATAAATTACACTATATAGTAGTCTTAGTTAAAAAAACATTCAAAACTAGGCAGTAGTAAGCACCTATTTTACCTTATTATGAAACAGTTCCTTGAAATAGCTTGGACCAGACTGCCAGCTGAAACGTTGGATTTACTTCAAATTTATTCGCTGAGATTTTACAAATATATTATTCCTATTTAATGTCTTATATCAACTCGGCACCCAAATAGTGTGAAACTATTCGCTCTAATTTAGACGAAAGTTCTTATATTATTCAACAAAGTTTATACGATGGAATTCATATACTGCTAATCAATACTAAAACCTGGTGACCTCTCTCTAATTAATTACAAATGGAACAAGAAACACATCACAAATCCTACTCATCACTAAGATTTCAAAAAACAATCAACTTTTAACGAGAAAAAGAGAAAAAGAGAAATTTATTACTTAATAATTTTCACTGATACAATTCGATATTTCATTTTAACGCCCCCGAAAGTCATAGTACGGCCGAGAGTGGGGAGAGTCCGCTCTCCCTATCCAAATGCTCTCACATGGCCACGTGCATACAATCACTGCCAGGAAAGTCCTACTCACTGCCCTCTCGTGGCATTACTGTTGTTTACGAAATTGAGAGGACGAAAAGCGAATGTCCGGCACTTTAACTGGGTTTGGTGGACACGGAAAGTCCACCTAGGGGAGTTGGAAAACCCTGATTCCAAACCAATGGTGCACATGGGCTCCATTATCCTGATGGGACAAATGGCGTATAAATCAATCGTTGGTCATCGGCTACCATGGAACTGCATCTCCTTACTATGCTCCACTGCCTTGTAGATAAGACCTTTAGGTCAAAGGCTAGGGGTGTGGCCCCCTAAGAAAACCACCTACTTTGGTCTGGGCACCTTGGCAGTATCACAGCCCTCACAAATCAAATGAGATTTGTGTGGCGCATATATATCTGGTGCCCTTTTGTACCAATATTTATGTGTTTAAATAAATAAATAAATTTCATGTTAACAAAATTGATATTTTTATGTATTAACACTGAGGATTATGTAATATCAACTAACATATTTCTTAAATGTTCCAATAAACATATCGATCATACATAAAATATGATTCTACTATGTTTTGAGTGAATTATACAGATTACTGAATAAAATAAGAGTTGAAATTCACAGAAATTATGGTCTTAACAAACATTCCAGATATAAATTACACGTGGGTGTAATCCAACTTTGATTATTTGAATCTCTAATATATTTGTGTACGAGTAAACTTAGTGAATTCATATAGAATTTTGTTGATAAACAGAATCTGGTCAACAATATGTTACATAGATGATACCATAAAAGATTGGTATTCATCGTCTTATCAGCTAATCATTTGTTATATAATTTTGTATACACTATACAATACCTTTCAGTATATACTTATGGACTGGTTTCAGTGTAAAATGTTCTGTTTTGAAATATTAAAAATATTCTATAAAAGTATTTTTTCTTTTTTTTTTATAATTTGGCATCCAAAAGAAAATGTGATTACAATCAATGATTAATTTTCTTATTATCATTATGTATATATAACTTCAACCAATGCAAACCGTTGGATGCCGGCTCAGTAATCTTGAGGTTAATTGTTCATGAGCTAGATCGAAGATTTTGGTTTCGAGTCTCACGTGCATGATCGTGGATATGGACTTCTGAGGAGTTCCATACTAGGATGAAACGGCCATCCAGTGCTTCCGCGTTTTCAGTGATGATCCATTTATGATATCTTTCGTGAATTTATCTAGAAAAAACCTAACAAGAATATATATTTGTTTGAATATTTGTTCACATGGATCTTCTGTTTAGTGTACCACTTAAAAACTCCCTTGAAAAGAAACTGAGGAAATTTTAATATGTCGTTGAATTGTATTGATTTGGAATTTTTTTATACCAATTCGCTAGTTAGTACATAGTTTAGCTGCCATATAATCACAGTATCAGTGATGAATTATTGAAAGTTCCATATATCGAACATTTGACAACTGGTTTGACTTGGAGTTTATGTTCTTGTCTATCCGCTGATTAAATGTCTTTAAATTAATGGATTTGTAAAGAGTTTTGTAAATTTTCATCTTGAACTGATATCAGCTGAAAAATTATTGAAATTAATCCGTCCTAATGTAAACTGATCAGAGTTGAAAATATGGACCATCGGATTGAAACCCACAAGTTTAAAAGCATCATGCTAGTTACTAGGTCTAATGGTCCTAGGTTGGACATCTGCTCAATATTTTCAAACTAGACTGAAACAAATGTTTAATTCATTTTGATTTTCATTGGTATTTCAGTTGATGTCAGCTGATACAGAAACTGCGTTTTTAACCTGGGTGTCTAGAAAACAGTCTAAATATTTGTGATTTAAATACTAAGCTTCTGGAAATGTTTAGTAATCTAACCTAGTAGTTTTTATTCGAATGTAGTTATATATGTAATTATAAATTAAGCTCCATGACAAAACAATGCAGCTCAGAGAACAAACAAAATCACCGACCTGAGCTACAAATCTTCACCATCTCAAATCCTATACAGAAACAAAGGCGACTAATTAAGAACAACTGAATCAAAAAACAAACTAATAATCAAAAATATTGACCTATCTATTCAAAATACTGGTTATTTATAGTACTGTTAAACATGAGAAAGACTTCAAAAAATGATAATTTTCTTTTCAGACTCGATTTACATTTTATGCTGTTAAAATGGACTATACTATTCAACCGAGAAAACAAATAACTCCATGCTATTTATTTGATCATCATCATTATCATTATCATCATCATCATCATCATCATCATCATCATCATCATCATCATCATCATCATCATCATCATCATCATCATCATCATCATCATCATCATCATCATCATCATCATCATCATCATCATCATCATCATCATCATCATCATCATCATCATCATCATCATCATCATCATCATCATCATCATCATCATCATCATCATCATCATCATCATCATCATCATCATCATCATCATCATCATCATCATCATCATCATCATCATCATCATCATCATCATCATCATCATCATCATCATCATCATCATCATCATCATCATCATCATCATCATCATCATCATCATCATCATCATCATCATCATCATCATCATCATCATCATCATCATCATCATCATCATCATCATCATCATCATCATCATCATCATCATCATCATCATATTATTATTATTATTATTATTATTATTATTAATCAATAACTGGAGTATAAGTTATATAATATTAACACTTCAATATTGAATGAAATTTCATTCTTCTTCTTCTTCTTTATGTACTTTAATTCATGTACATAAATGTTATTTTTATCCTGAAATAGTATTACCTCTTTTCAGCTATAAAATGACATATTTCAATAATTAAATTCATAATAAATAAATAAATAAATAATAAAAAAATTTATTTATTTATTGTTGTTGTTTAAATTGTCAACATAATAAATGAGTTTGAAAGAAAAGAGAAAAAAGAAAAACAAAATGAATAAGCACAGTTCTTTTATTGAAGAAAAAAAAGAAAGACTATATTCTTCGTTTATGTATCTATGTGTTTGTAGTAAGCCCATTCAACTATTATATTATTTGTGTGTTCTATGTAATTTAGACATTTAATCCAATTTGTAAATTTATGTGTTAGTCCGATTAAGCTCATGTGCTGCACATCAATCTCTAATCTGTTCTCTCATTGATTGTAAACAAAGATGATCAATAGTATATCCACAGTTCATTAACACTCATTGACACACACACACACACTCACTTGTTTTCCCGGTGTGCTTGCTACCTGTACGTTTGCGGATTTTATCAAGCTTCAACAATAAACTATCTCTATAACTGGTGTTCAGGCTTTTGAATAATCTCGAGTAATCTCATAATTCTACTAGGAGATTTAGCCTATATTAAATATTCAGTCAGTGGAATATTATTTATTCATTGGAGTCAGATATAGAGGAATTAATCCTCAACATGTTTTTATTAAATAAACACTTATAAAATATAATATTAATTCAAAGTAAATATTTGTATATACGAATATTCGTCAAGGTTAGAAAGAATAGTTTGACAATAATTAGGCGCTGAGTATAGAGAAGTCATTATATGAGAAAAATTATATTTGAAATAATCTCAGCGATTGAAATCTAAGTAATAATTCCAAAGTTTCGTCCAGCTAACTTGTCCGGACTTCTTCAACTGACTGACTCATGTTATCCTATTTACATAAATGCAACATCCAAATATGATTAATTTAACGCAGCATAGATTTTGATATGAATGTTAAAAAAACACCATATATGTCTTTGATGATTTTGATTTTGATTATTTCCCTGAAGAAGTCCAGGCAAGTTAGTTCGACAACACGTTGGAATTATTTAAATTTTAATCAGAAGGGATTTGTTGAGATTTCAGTATTTTCATTGTTGAAATCATGAGTCAATTGAAGTTAGACCACTATTGAAAACTCTGAAGCACTGGACGGTCATTTAGTTCTTTTGTGGGACTCCTCAGCAGTGCACATCCACGACCTCGCCCCGCAAGATTCGAACTCCGAACCTACCAGTTTTGCGCCAGAGCAGTTAATCGATTGAAATTATTTAGATTTCAATCTCTGAGACTATTTCAAATATAATTTTTCACATATAAATATTCGTATATATTTTTTTATTTATGAGTTTGAAGTTAAATAATTTTTTTTATTGATCATTTCTTTTTTTTCTTTTTTCTTTCTTTTCTTTCTCATTTATACATTTTATATTGAGGAGGATTAAACGAATTTTATTAATTCTATCAAAATATGTGGTTATCTTAAAAATGAAGGCATAATTGTTTAAAGTTTAATGCGTGTGTGTGCGCATGTGTATGACTAACACAAACGGATCGATCGATCGATTGATTGGTTGATTGATTTTAAATGTTTGAATAGATTACATTTTTGACTGAGTGAAATGATGACATAATCAAGGTTAGACATTGATAAGTATTTGAATAAACATTTACATTTTTCAATTAATATTGGTGCTACTCGATTAGTTGATTATAACACTTAAAACAGTTGCGTTATTGAACATGACATCCACTGTCTTGCTCATATTATCAAAGTATATGAAGATTAATTACGGATCATTGTTGAACAATCAATTGAATGGAACTCATCACTGTACATCAACCTTCTTGATTATGAGACAGCATTTGAGAGTATGGAAATTTCTTCTACACTATAGAGTGCAAGAGAAAATCGTCAACATCATCCGGAATCCATACGACAGATTACAGTGTAAAATTATATATGGCGGACAGCTGACAGACGCATTTCCAGTAAGGACCGGAGTCAGACAAGGCTGTCTACTCTCCCCCTTCCTCTTTCTTCTGGTGATTGACTGGATTATGAAGGCCTCGACATCTGACGGGAAATACGGAATACAATGGACAGCTCAGAACCAATTACACGATTCGAACTTCTCAGATGATCTAGTCCTTCTATCCCATAAACACGAACAAATACAGATGAAGACAGAAAATGAAGCAGCAACCTCTGCATCAATAGGCCTCAACATACACAAGGGAGAAAGCAAGATCCTCAAATACAACACGCTAAGCCGATCACACTTGATGCAGAAACTCTGGAAGAGGTGTAATCATTCACTTACCCGGGAAGCCTCATTGATAAACAAGGAGGATCTGATGTACACGTGAAGGCGAGTATTAGCAAAACAAGGACAGCATTTCTACATTTGAAGAACATATGGAACTCAAAACAATTGTCAACTAACTTCAAAGTGAGAATCTTCAATACGAACATCAAGACAGTTAGTCCTACTATACGGAGCTGAAACGTGGAGAACTACTGCAAGCCCTAACTTGGAATGGTGAAGGGAAGTGCAAAAGAGGAAGGTCACAGAACCCATTACATAGAGAATAAGAGGTAGGTATGAAAAGGATGAATAAAAACTGAAAAGAATTGGAAAGGATTGTGCATGACAGGGTTGGATGCAGAGTTTTGGTGAGCGGCCTATACTCCTTCACAGGCGTAAGAATGAAGATTAAACCTGCAATTCGTTATCGATCTCTGCCGAATATAATAGAAATTACTTAATTACACCTGTTACCCATCGTCGAGGAGCATAGGCCGCTCACCAGCATTCTCCATCCAACTCTGTCCTGAGTCTTCCTTTCCAGTTTCTATTCATCCTTTTCATATCTGCTTCTATTTCCCGACGTAATGTGTTCTTTGGCCTTCCTCTTTTCCGCTTGCCTTCACCATTCCAAGTTAGGGATTTCCTTGTAATGCACATTGGTGATTTCCTTAATGTATGTCCAATCCACTTCCAACATCTTTTCCTAATTTCTTCTTCAGCTGGAAGCTGGTTTGTCCTCTCCCATAAAATGCTGTTGCTGATAGTATCTGGCCAGTGAATGTTGAGTATTTTGCGTAGACAACTGTTTATAAATACAGAGTAAATGACTCCATATGACTGTTGTGTTTTAATTTAAAATCGTTAGAGATAATTAACAAAATGCATTGGATCTATGTTTTTGTAATAATTTGTTTTCGTTAGTAAGATATATTCATAATTTTAAGAAAATCAGTGTCATTCTGTGTCACCCAATGTTATAGTCAGATTTATTAGTTGAAGGCTAAAAACTGAATTCTTGAAGGATTGTGAAATTTAAACTTTCTAGTTTATGTATATTAACCAACGTTATATTTGGCTAGTACCAAGTAGCATTTTACATATCTTTGAATAGTTTTATCACTTCTATTCATTCCTTTCAAAAGTTGTTATTTACTAATTTATCTTTCGTAATGATTTACTTTTACTCCTAGTCTTGGTGTATAAGTCAATCCACAGCACTAAACCTCTAGACCACTGAGCCGGCATCCAATGGCGCGAGACTGGTAGGTCCTGGGTTCAAATTTCGCGAGTGCGGGGTCGTGGATGCGCACTGCTGAGGAGTCCCGTAATAGGACGAAACGGCCGTCCAGTGCTTCCAGGTTTTCCATGGTGGTCTAACTTCAATTGACTAATGATTTCAACTTCGAAAAATACTGAAATCTCCACAAAACCCCTTCTGATTATCTTGACAGATTTCATTATGTAAGTCGGAATATCCGGATATTTTCTTAAAAAATTCAGTTACCAGGGATTTTATGTAAATTTTTGAGGATAATTTTCTATTGACACAATCAATTTCAAACATTTTTATGGGTATTTCTTACACCTCTAATAAATGATTATTAAAATTACTTTGGTAATTCTCATTTCGTCATTTCATTCATTCTATCTCACATACTGCAATAATCTGTATAACATTAACGGTTGGTCTACTTCCTTTACTACTATTATGATTGATATTTACAATTTAGTCTTAGTATACTGAAACCTATTAACCACTAATTGGGTAGTATATGTAATATTACGATAAACAACTATAGATAGTAATGAGTGGTTTACATTTAATAATCTTAATATTAAATCTGCCAATCATCTGTCATTTTTTCCATTTCTTTTATTCTTTTTTTAAAATTGGAATCCACATCTGATAGGTGTCATTAGTCCGTAAAACAAACAATATTAACGCGCGAAATATGCACAACATTAATTCAATGTACAAAGAGAGTTTTCGGTAAAGGACTAATATTAGATACATGTTAATTCTAAAATTAGATGACATTTAATTGGTATCAAAGATTTTAGATAGTTTTGTAGATGAGATGACTACTAAATGATGGTTCTGAAAAGTGGGTTAATTAAATTCGTTAATATGAACCATTGAATAGTGCTAATCCTGAAATCTGAAAGCTATGTATTCAATTTTATATCAGTCCATGTTTGCACACGCACAAAACATCCTAACAGTTTTCATTACTTTTCAGTAGTTATTTAGTTCAAGTCAGTTGTCGATGAAAATCGACTTCAAACCTAAAGAAACAGTATTAACGTTAAAAAGATAAAGGAAAATGTGGAAAAAATAGAAGATATTACTGTTTTTGGGTTCTAATTTTAAATAAACGATGAAATCAAAGAGAAAATTTTCTGGATTTTGTACGATTTCACACATTTTAGTCATATGCTTTAGAATCAGCATGAAAAATGACAATAGTTGAGATAAAAGTTCCGTATGTAGAACATTAAGCATTTAAGTCACAAATTTAGAACTTAATTTATAAAATCTGTCCTTCTGATGGTATGATAGAAAAGGTAGATCGTAAAAATATTTAGAGAACAATCCATCGTAAAATCATTGAAAATACTAAGCTTCTAATATATATATATATATCCTTCACATACAAGGTCTTAAACCTAAAGGTCTATTAGTCATGCACAACCGCCTACTTGATGGGTTTACTACATCTTTTATATATAGTTTACTGAACGGTATAAATTCTCATCTTTATAGTGTATATTAGTTGAAAATATCATGACACTAATAAACAAAGTTATATCTTTTATGGCTTGATCAACTATGATATCCAAAGTCAATCATAGTTTAATGATGAAAATAATGAAAATAGATTACAATATAGTCGAAACAACGTATCGGCTTTCGATGGGCAGTTATTAACTGCGTCTATTCTTGTTCTGTCTAATTTTTGTAGGTAACGAATTAAAGTCACACCATATTTTTCTGACAGCTTATTTTCAAACAAAAATTGGTATTCAAAATTGAAGACCCAAGTTTTAAAGATATAAAGAAACACTAAGATCACGGGTCGATCTAAGCTAGACCACCACTGAAAACCCGGAAGCCCTGGCTGGCCGTTTCGTTCTAGTATGGACTTCACACTAGTGTGCATCTAGAGTTTAATCGTTCGCACACGAGACCGAAGGTCCTGGGTCCGAGTCTCGCGTGCAGAGTTGTGGATCATAACATAAGTAGGCTCTTCAAATCTACATGTTCTGGATTTTATAGTTAAATATATGTTCGTCCTTCCTTACCGAATAAACGTTTTTGTAATATCTGTTTTCAGACACCGAAACCATGACAAGTTGAGCTCTGGTAAATCTGTTTTAGGGTTTAGGTTGATTGAGACTGACTGCCCTAAACTATGTCCCAGTAAAATTTTTAAAATGTGATGTGGAGATTAGTAGAGATCCTTTTTTGTTAAAAATTACTTCATACATAAATAGAAGCATGTTCGAGAAATAAAATCCAAAACAAAATGAACTGATTGATTTGGTTATCCTTCATCAGTACTTCAATACATAAGCCCTATACAGTCCACCAAAATCAACATCTTTTACCATGAAGTGATGTCAAGACTTAGAAATTGTGATTTTATTGATAACGAATGATATACTTGAACATGTATCAATTTTGTTTGCAAAATCCATGGTATTAGTCTAGCTAGCGCAAGTGAATAATGGTAGTCTTTCTAACAAAAACATATACTGGGAAGTTTTCATTGTCTAATCGTGAGCTATAAGTTTTGAATTCTTGGTTCAGATTGACGGATGGACACAATTTCGAGAGAACCATGAACGTGACCTCTGTGCACAGGAAGATAACACGATTAAGGTCTGTCTCCTTACCTTTATATTTAGAATGAAAATGAATTTATGTAGAATGTCATATAATCATAGGATCATATAATATGCAACTTAATTCTGCATGTAACATAAAAGATAATTAACTATTATCGGCTTCATTTGGCTATTGCCTTTTAAATTCATAATCTATATTTGATTTAATCAATTCGAGTTGACGTTGAACTATGAACACCTCTGTAGTGATCGGCCAGTCTCGATAAGAACACGATTGGAATAACAGAAACAATTATTATTATTGTAACCAATTGTACCAGAGATTGTTTTACTGTATTTGTTTAACTGTGTCAGATTCACTTATCGTTTCACTCTCCGCCTTGTTTGGTTCGAACTTGCTCACGCACTGCCCATTTCGCCTGTACCCTTTGGCACGTCTCGGTATTGTTTCGATACCACGAGATCGCCAATAAATATACTTGATCTGGATTAATAAAGCCTTCTGATTTACGAGCTATCAAAGGAACCAAGTCGTTTTTGGGCGCGTAATTGAATAGTAGTGGTGATCATAGTCCGTCCTCGACTCGACATCCACTACACCTCATTGGCCAAATTGTTCATACTGGCGATCAATCTATATTTATCTTCAGGATCGATCAAGAGATAAGGAATGGAAACTTATTGAAATACTTTGTACTGAGACTTCTATATTGTACCAAAAATATAATATTGAATAAAGCTAATAATAACAACAATAACAGTACGAGAAACTTGGGAATGAAAATACATTGAGTAGTATTGTTCATTACATATTGAATTAACAAATCAAGATATTCAATCTATGGACAGATTGAAATCCAATGTACCAAAGCTTTTATGTTCATCGCTTATCATTAAACTTAATGAAGTGGTCATCAAAATAACTGATAGGAAATGCCGATGATTTGCAGTTGATTTAAAATAGTCAACAATAAAACCTTAGATCATTAAGGCAATAACGTATATTTGTCAGACTCTTGGTAGAGATAAAGTAAAATACATTGTGTCAGTATTTTTAAATTGTTTTTTAATTTGAAAGTTAAAAATAACCATTTAATACTTTTAGAATTTGTAAACAGCCTCATGTGCTAAAAAAGCTCACATAGGTCGACGTGGTCTCGCGTTTAAGCTTAGCAGCATATATCTATACTTAATAGTCCTATAGATAGTATATCCTTTAAAAATGTATAGAATATGTACAAAATGAATTTAAACTTCACCCCATTGTACAAGTAAGTGGCTATCAGGACTCAGTAGGTAAGTGGGTAATGCGATGACTTTGAAGCGGACGGTACTGGATTCGGTTCCCGGAACGAACATTGACTCTAGGATGCAGGTACATCCGGCTGACGAGTCACGAATAGGACGAAACGTGCGCCCTGGATTCCAGTATTAGCCACTATCCATCTTTGTTTACCATGCTTGTGAATTTAGGCTATATCGAGGCAATACACACAGTATGCACATATGCCAATTTGAGACTGACCAGTTGCAGTCCTAGAAAATCAATGGGAAGATTCAAACAAGCCATACAAAATGAATTGAAAGTGGCAATCAGTTTACAACATGGCTTTAAGGAATGAAAAATTATCCTAGTAGACTGATGCTGGTTATTTTATCAAGACACTTTAAAATGATTCCCTCCCAATGATAATGCAACGTAGCTTCATTAAACGATTCATAATTGAAGCTGGTGGCGATATTTGAATTGGATTCTTTCTAGATACTGTTATATAATTTTCATAGTTGAAAGCATAAGTCAATTAAAGTTAGGCCACCAAGGAAAACCTGGAAGCACTGGGTTTGAATCTCGCGAGACGAGATCGTGGATGCGCACAGCTGAGGAGTCCCACAATAGGACGAAACGGCCTTCCAGTGCTTTCAGCTTTTCCTTGGTGGTCTAGCTTCAATTGACTCACGCTTTCAACAATGAAAGTACTGAAATCTCCACAAAACTCCTTTCTAACTGTTATATAACTCTAAATAAAATCCTTTTATGTTTTCGAGGTTATCTGAACTTTGCCATTCTTGTTGTATTATTATTACTTTTACTAACTAGTTATATGGTTTTTCCACCTTTGTAGTATTATTATTATCATGATTAATATTTTACATTTAATTGTGATGCAAATCGGTTTTTTTTCTGTATTACAAGTAAATACAAATGAATATACTTCAATTATTACATAACTTGTTGTAATTTTGAATAGTGAATCCTAAATACCAACTTTTAAAGGGTTTATACCATTATATATTATACATTTCTAGGACATTTATCATTATATAGATATATATACACTAAACATCACATTAAGCCACAAATTTCAGCATTGTTATGTAACATAGCCGCTTATTTGGAATAATACGGAATTTGTTTACTTGACTCTAAATAATATAAAATTTTGGTTCTATTCCTGAAAACAACGTTTACGCATACCTACAAATATTTAGATACATATACTACAGTTAGTTAAGTAGACACTTGGTTTAATAACACCCACATACAATAATTTACATTATCAGGTTGATTGGCCTATTGAACTACTTTCTTGATTATTCATTCACATAAATGAATTCTGAATGTTAACTCAAAATAATCAACAAAATATGTATAGTGAGAAATTAGATAAGTTAAGAGAGAGAAAGTATGAAGATGGAAGAATATGAGAGAAAGAGAGAGGGTTTTAATCCATTTCATAAAGTGCTAAACTTAAACACACTTTTAGAAAGTATGTTAGTCTCAATCAATATCATAACAACCATTTTCTCTATAGGGGCCATGTATTTGGCCGACCAGTAAATTGATTAGATTGAGCAACTCATTTTGTTAACCTGACTACCATATTTTGGTGTGCAAAATACCTTTAGGATGCATATAGCGATGTACTTATGTGTAAGTGTGTTATACCTTGGTCATAAGCCCACACATATATACACACGGTACAAAAAAAAGAATGTGAGCACGCATATTAATATATTACGCTAACTAAACTACAGGAAAACTTACTTGCCTATTAGTTAGACTAAATAAAATAACAACAGTTTTACTTATTGGTTTGAATATAAAAAGGTATTTAATGACATAATACTTTTACTTACCATTTAGTTGATTAACTTTTGAAATTTCATCCAGGAGAATGAGTTTGACATTTACAATTCCGAAATTCTTTCTATTTTGCTTAAATTTTTTACTTGTGGTAAGTATATTCAATGATGATTTCTTTTTGGGGGTTACAATTAACATTGTTGTTTATTTGATAATGATAATATAGTGTAATCCGGTTTTGTTTTTTGTTTGATCAAAAAAGAAAACTGACAATATGGATAAGTTTTATCGTTCAGTTCCATTGTAATGATTCGTGTATCGAGGGAATATTATGTTGATGATAGCATAAACATATTACTTTACTGGATCTATCGAGTATTTCTTACATTGTAATTATTGATATAAAGGTAATCAATAAATAAAGCTAGAATAAAGAGTTGCACTTACTTACTTACTAGTTAGCGTTTTCTTTTTATTAAGGTTGTTTTCTGCGGGATGTGGTTGTTAACCCCATACTCAATCCTCTTTTTATCCCCGGACATGGGACCGGCAGTAACCTTAGAAGAGCTACAGACAGAGTTAAGGCTTATACACTGACATGATATTAAAAAAAGTGATGGTTATACACATAAACATAAATTTCTACTTTAACTAAATATGAACTTCAATGTTATACTGTAAAGACAAAATAAGATATAAATCCTCAAATTCAGAGTATCTTAACAACTGATTAAATACAGTTATTAAATGAAACTATATTTATACCAAAAGCTTATTTCAGTAAATGTAAACGGATTTTTCCTGTTTATTCATGAGAAAAATTGAAAACTTCCGTCTAATAATAACGACCTTTTTTTTATACCGAAGCTCTAATCTTACAACAACAATTATGACTCTACTAATGTAATATGACATTTTTATTTAATTGCATACCTCAATGAATAGTGATTTCATAAGTGAACCTCTTGATTGATTTAATTATATTGTTGTGTAGACAAGTGACATTTATTTTAACTGACTAATATAAATGACAGAGAACTGAATAAGAATACTAAATCCTTTGTAATCTTAACTGTTTCATAACAGTCGTAATATTGTCATATCTAATGACTGTAACACTAACAATGGATCATTTGATGGTAATGCAGCATTTAGCTATATCAAACTAATAGTGATATCTTTTATCTAAAAGATATGAATAATTAATATCTTATACTGTTATTACTGTGATAATTGACTTAACAGAATCTTTGTTCACACTACCAAGAGGAAAATTATCCCTTTACAAATAACATTTATAGATATTAACTCTTATGTATTGTTCACTGTGGATTACTGTTTTGATTTGACTTATAAAGGTTTAAAATTCTTAGATGGTAAGGGACATCATTTTATATACAAACCAAATAATAGTTAGTAGACTTTTCACATAAAAGCATAATTGATAATAAAAGCAAATCAACTGTATTCTATATTTTTTAATCAAAATATCTGACTAAAAGTTAATATTTCATCTTCACACAATAAGAATATTTTTGAAAGTCCTGGGTAAATATCTAATAGGTATACGGAATATTACAGTAATGATATAAATACAGTATAAACCTATCTCATTTAGTATTGATGTTAGATAAACTGGGAAATCATTTTAACTAGAAAAATATCTCAAAAGTGACTGGCTTCAAGAGGTATTTCCTAGAGTTCTAGTGAGAAGCAGCGACCAATCGAGTTCGACCATGTCTTTTGTGAGATAGTAAATCACTGAAGATCATGGTGGACGGTTACTCAGTTTCGTGGATTGGTTGAAGTAAGACATTAACACCGTTGGATACCGACTCAGTGGTCTAGTGGTTAAGCGCTCGCGCATGAGACCGTTACGTCCTGGGTTCGGATCTCACAGGGCGGGATTGTGGATTGGCGCTGCTGAGGAGTCCCACAGTAGTACAAAACAGCCGTCCAGTGCTTTTAGGTTTTTCATGGTGGTCTAGCTTCAATTGACTCATCAATTCAACTAAAAAAATATCTTTAAATAATTTTTCAAATCGGTTACGTTAATTCAAGCCCTATGTCTGTCAACTATAATGAATTAAACAGACATTATAACAAGATAATGAATTTACTTAAGCTTTTCTGTTTGAAACACTTTAACCCGCATGATCAATACACTCATTAGGTTAGAATTTGCAAATATACACAGGATCATTTGAGTAATTGTTTACAATTATTTTTAAGAATAACTTTTGACTAACATCTTTGTTATTGAACTAAACAAGTACCTGATAAATATGTTTCGTAGTTTATTGTTAAGCATATAAAAGTGAAATTTGTTTAAATTTACAAAAAAACATGACTTCCATTGTTTTACTCAGTGTCATTAGTTAATTAAAAGTTTTTCAATATCATAGACTTACTACTTTTATTGTCATTCAATCAAGTTATAGGTGAAGACTGTTATCTAATGAAATGAAATTACAGTATAATAATAAAGTAGATCAGTTAGAATAATCTTAACTGAATGACTTTCGACTAATTAACATAATAGTAATATATACACAGTTAAAACTGAAGACATTGTTTGTAGTTGAAAACAACAAATTACTGGAGTTGTGAGATGGTGGAGAAGATTTGTAGCTCAAGTGGGTGATTTTGATGTTGGTTTGTCCTCTGAGCTGGATGGTTTGGTCGTGGAGCTTTCATCGTCCTTCTGAACGACATCACATGTGGAGAAATTCAAACACTTCACTTCTACCCGAAGTTTGTGCTGATGATGTCGTTCAGAAGGACGATACCGGAGTTGTCAAAGTAGATTTCATAATAATATTTATCACCTGTGGACAATTCATGGAGTAACACAAGCTAAAAAGATCCAGCTAACTGTAATCTTAAAAATCAGGTTATTAGAAATTTTTTTTAGTCGGAATGGATGCACGGTAAATGTGACTGACGATGTGGAACAATGTTTCTTTATTATATGTGAAAATTATATTTGAAATAATCTCAGCGATTGAAATGTAAATAATCCAACAATTTCGTCCAGCTAACTTGTTTGGACTTCTTCGGGGTAAACGTTGGAATTATTTTAACATTTCAATCGCTGAGATTATTTCAAATATAATTTTCACATATAATGACTTCTGTACACTCGGCGCCCAAGTTTTGTCAATATCTCTTTATTCCTTAAAAATAACTCAAATATCTAATTCATGAAATTACATAAGAAATATAACTCATACATAACTGTGTCAAAATATACCAAAAATGCTTTTTAAAAAAATTAACAGAACAAAGTAGAACTACATTACAATAGATTCACTTAAGACAAAATCAATTATAGATAATCTTGTGATAAAGAACTATGAGAAGTGATGATTAACATTATGAGGAAATTCCCTGAATTTTAGTAAGAAATGGTGGTTAATAGAGTTCATCTATGTCTAGTGTTAAACACATGTAACCGATGACAATGGAAAACTGTTACAAAATACCACAAAAAATAAAGTTTGAATTATAAATTAATGGACACTAAACTCAGTGATCTGCAGATTATAGATATACGGGTTATGGATTCCATCCTAGGCACGTTTGTAAGTGTATATTACTGTCTGGCGCTTCTTTGTTTTCAATACTTTAACTTAAGTTAATTGATGATGTGAAATACGAACTGGAAAACATCTAAGAACCTTGGATCCTAATTATACGATGAATTTTACAGGTAAAATGTGATTCGAAAGGGCATAGAAACAGAAACATAAGTTTCGTATAAAAATTAAACGAATTTATTCCAAAGCGTGGGTAATAATATTAATAAATAACACAATGGTAGAAGAGATTAAATGAGATTGTTGTATAAATAATTTAAAATTCTCTATGGATATTGACGACTCCAACAATCCGAAGTTTGAAAAGACACTTTTGTCTCTAACATGTTTAGTTTTACTCTAGAAATAAATTCAAATGATGAATCCACTGAAATAGATGGATTACAAAAGTAATTATCCAAAATAACGGTGTCACTTCTATAATTTTTTTCATTTTGACTAAACTGTTACCTCGTAATACCTTTCATTACTTTACCGATACGAGATAATACAACGTTAAGTAAATACAAAGTTGAATCGGAAATTTTCTTAATTCGGCTCCCATCTATAGTGTTAGTACTATATGCTGGTGGGAGGTCAACTGAAATAACAACAAATTCTAATACTGATCAATATTTCCGTTATCGTCCATCTAATAAACAGTTGAGAGAAAAGTATATATGCAAATATGGGTATCATTGACATAAACATGTGCTTTTCTCACTATTTCAAAATACAGAACTTACCAACCTGGTCATCATTTTGTTTTAACAGAACATATTTAGCACGAATTAATTAGCATAATAATATAATATACTTCAATATTATTGGTTGATGGAATCAAACCCTTAGATTCAAACTCAGAATATGTCCTAATATGGTAACCTTATATTAAACATATCATCAAACAGTTTATCAATAAAGCATCATATCGATATGTATTTTAGAATGTTAAAAAAAGAATACTTTACAAGTAATCAGAATTTCTCTAAATAGCTTAAAAATGTACTATTTACCATTTCACGATCAGAAAGTTAACTGTAAAGTATGTTTTATAGAATTGAGATCATGAGTCAATTGAAGCTAGACCACCATCGAAAACCTGGAAGCACTGGAAGGCCGTTTCATCCTATTATGGAACTCCTCAGCAGTACGCATCCACGATCTCGCACTCGCGAGATTTAAACCCACGACCTACCAGTCTCGCGCCAGAGCACTTAATCGATAGACCACTGAGCCGGTATCCAACAATGTTAATGTCTAACTTCAACCGAAGTATGTCTTAATTTCGCAAAAACATAAAGTTACTACTCTAAAAAAGAGAAATAAAAAAGTAGTGTTTTAATTACTCATCGTATTAAATTTCGATACTTATCGATCTGTTCAATGTATTTGGTATTATTAATTGTAAGAGTTTGAGTTTTTCACTGTTAATGTTTAAGACTATACTTTCTACCGATGATAAATGGGCTAGCTAAGTCAATTTCATAATATTGTCTTTATAAATCAATGATAAAACGAAATAATATGATGAGATCACTAAATTAATCAGAACTAAGTCATACTTTAAAGGGAATAGATTTCAAACAATGTGACCATACATTAATATGTATTGATGATTATGAATATAAGCAATATCGAGATAATCTTGCAACGAACTCATGATCTGACAAAGACTTTAATTTCAGCCTCGCATATCATTCATCATAGAATAGTTTGCAGGTGGTTTTCTCCTCTCATACATTAACATTGGAAAGCTGTTTCGCCTAAATTTCAGACTTCACCTCAGTACATGCCTTCAGCTTATTACGAGCTATTGGATTTAAGAGTTTTGGGTTTTATTAGAAAACATGAAAACACTCTGTAGTTTCAATTTCAGTTCATTCCTGATAGGGTGTAATTTTTAACAAGTATCGTAATGACTATTTACAATATCGTTAACTGAACCAGTTAAAACGTCTCATCAGAAATTCCAGAAGTCAACCCATAAAAAGTAGTTACTAATGTCCATAAGATTATTATTTGGTAAGTTGGATTATGGAAAGATTCGTGTTATTTAAAGATGATTCTGTGTAAAAATGAGATAAAAACAACCTTGTGAAATTCACAAAAGGTAATTTTAAATCTACGTTTTGCAAATTTCTTATCTTAAATACATAAAAATATTAAATAAACCTGAAGTGAATAAATTTGTTCTGAGGAAGTGGGTTACATTAGATTACGAAACGTCACAAAGACAATTTTTGTACTTATTTGGATATAACAAAAATATGTTTATTATTATTTTTCTACTCAATGCTCGATTTATTTGATACTGTCAAGTGCAACCTTTATATTGATGCTTATTAAATAAACTTGTTTTAATGAAATTTAACTGTTATACTAACAGTATTTTCTGTTAACTAATTTAATTAAGATTATTGGGTTGGCATTAATTGCTGTCGGTTCATGGGTTACAGCAGATGATCAAGGCTTTATTGATACAATTCAACTTTTTTCGTCATACAATTCAATTGAATTGCAATTATATCAAGGAACAAGTTTATTACGTTATTTCAGTTATGCTGTGATTATAATGGGCGGATTATTAGTAGTTATTGCTTTTGTCGGCTGTTGGGGTGTAGTAATTGAAAATCGAGGATTACTTATAGCAGTAAGTTTATGAATTATTATCATTATTGTTGTTACATAAAACTTTAATAATGCCTTCTTAAAATTGTTATGGTATAATTTAACATAGAAAAGAGGGTGAAAAGTAGGGAAAACAAGCAAAAATATATGTATGGTAGGTCCTGGGTTCGAATCTCGCGGGTGCGGGATCGTGTATGCGCACTGCTAAGGGGTCCTACAATAGGACAAAACGGCCGTCCAGTGCTTCCAGGTTTTCCATGGTGGTGTAGCTTCAATCGACTCACGCTTTCAACTATGGAAAATGTATGTGTTAGATTTAATTATTTAAAGTAAAAATCTTAATTTACAAACTAAATTCCTTTGTCTGTTTACTAATAGACGTATAGATTAAAAATAATTTGTTATTTTTAAAATATATCTAGTCGTTACTGTGCAGCCAGATAAACAACTATAGTTTTAGTGTAGTCAAAGCTTCGAAAATATCAATCTATAATTCATGATTTTAATCTCAGTTGATTGCTCATTCAATTACTTGAATTACTACTGAATAAGGATCTACTGAATTAAAATGTGTGGTTCGTATGTGGTTCGATCAGTTATTATTAGTTACAATGAGTTAAAAGAGAGGGAATCTATCACGATAATTTGATTGAGCAACTAAGCACCATGTGTGACTCTCTGTTTATTTTTAGATTTCATCTGGTTATCTTACGATAACCGACTTCAATGAGAGAGTTTCAGGATTATTCGATCGAATGTTGCAATAACACTAACTCAATTAATTAGATATTTTGACGGTAGAAATCACTAGTTAATCTAAGCTAAACCAGCATTGGAAACCTACGAGCACTAGATGACTGTTTCGTCCTAGTATGAGTTTCCTCAGCGGAGGTAATTTACGATCTCGCACTCTAAACTCTAACCCAGGACCTTTGGTTTTGCGCGAACGCCTAACCTCCATACTACTGAGCCGGCATCCAAGGGTGTTAATTTTCAAAGCTCACTGACTACGTAAAACTTCGTTCTCCAAGAACCCAAGAGTAGGAGAAAATAGGATACTTGAGCTGATCTCTATATCTCTGACTCAAAAATTTATGTGATTGAATGTGTTAATAACTAGACTGTAATGGATCACAGTCACAAAAATACAATCTGCGCCAAGAAGAGTCATCTAAGGTAAAACAAAACTCGAAATAATAGACTTATGATAAGTTCACAGTGATTCGGAGACAGAATAAGACAACAATAAATTAGTTCTTTGAAAGCCTGAAGTTAAAGAAAACTAAAAATCGTATGAACTAAATGTTAGTAATTACATGCTAAAAGTAAAACATGCTGACGTCCAAAAACTAGCTATCATGGTTTGTTATTCATTCTTATTCGTCTCACCATAACAAAAGGCAAATATAGTATTATTTTATCCTGGTGATCAAAACCAATAGTGCTATTTTACTGAAGTAAACATTAAACTAAGTAAGAGGAATCGATTTCATTAATATAGTGTTTAAAATTATTAGCTTCAATAATACTTCGATGTATAACTACAGCTCATAAAGAGCAAACTCTAGAAGACCAGTATGTTTTCAAACCTAAACGTGGATATACAGACCAAATATTCACTTTCTGGCAGTTTCTAGAACATACACATAGTTTACATCTTTAACCTTAAGGTGGAGTTCGACTCCGTTGATCGTTATGTTCTATAGTAGTATCTGTTATTGAAATACGTATCAAAGAAACACATTAATCTTGTACAGGCTGTCTGTTTAAATACTACTGGCCAAGTCAGAGCTTATGACGAAATTTCATCGGAATTGGTTACCTCATGGTTTTCCGCTTTCCACATATTTATCTAACTTTGTAATAGACACACTTTTGGAGATAACACTTTCATTGTCTGGCTTTTCAAGGATTGATCGCTGACAAGAGATTCAGTTGCTGACTTAGAATACGCAAATGATGTAGTTCTGTATGATGAAGACGTTTACAAAATGCAGTTATTCCTGACTACCTTAAGCAGTAATGTAAACGTGTTTGGGACACTGTTCTCTCCCTCCAAATACGAAATGTCACTTCAGAATTGGCTTGCGTCGGCGCCCAAAATAATGACAGTGAGTGAATTCGTTGGACGCATCAAACGCTTCACTTCTCTTGAGAGTTTCATCAGTACTGATGGTCTGACAAAATCTTGGCACGGACTGATAAGGTTTGATTGGCTTTTACCACCTTGCATCATTTATGGCATAGGTGAGATATTCGTCTTCCAACCAAAAGGCGAATTCATTGATCATCAGTTCGTTTCGTCGGATTTCATAGGTGCGAAACACGGTCATTAAGAGCAGGGGATATTTGTAGGTTACTAATCTTCGGCCATAGATGTCTTCGAAGCATTGCGCACGTACTTTTCAACCACTGAGTAAGCAATGCCTAGGTTAGTAGAAGGGCATTAGGTAAGGGTGGAAAATCGATTGATGAGGTAGTAAGTCTTCATCAATTGCGATGGATGAGACATGTGATACGTATGGTCATGTGTGTTCTGAAAGTTGACTCCCATTTAATATCATATAAAAAAATCACAAATATGAAAAGGATTGTTGTCATTCTTAATAATGCCGTAAATTTAATTCGGCTGGACTATAATTTACGGGTGAACCAAACAGATGCAGGATATCTGTTCTTGAATTTTGGCGCGAAATTTATTCACATCCAATTGACTAAACAGAGTTTTGGCATTACAGCTGATGTCAGTTCGTGATGGAGACCGTAAATGTAATTACTAACCTTAAACATCAACTCTAAATCACAATCCTAATTCCTCATACTTGTTTATAACCCTTATTTAACACCAGTATGTAGGTTGTCATTTTCAAAAGCACTTTAGCATCGCTCAAGGGTCGTTCATAAATTATAGTCTCACCTTTAATTCTAACTGATGGTTTCGGCGTTCCACCAGATTCGAAAATTTTATTTGACCTCTTCTTCAAGTTGACAATCTTGTGGATTTAACTAGAACTAATTATTTGTATTATTATGTGTTGTATAGTATGAAGGATTTAGGTTTGGCTTCAGACCACCAAGGAAAACCTGGTCTAGCTTCAATTGATTCATGCTTTCAACTATGAAAATGATCAAATCTCCACAAAACCCCTTCTGATCATATTCATTTAATAATTTATCTTATTCTATTCAAAATTTAACATTCCATGATAATATGTCGGTTGGATATATTTTTCATTTATAAATAATAATTACATGGACATAGTAAGAGAAGTTTTGTACTGATTTACTGCTGTAATTTATTATTTTAGTTCACTGCTCTGATGATTGTCCTAGTTCTACTTGAAGGTGGAGCTGCTGGAGCGATGGGTGGTACACAAAGTTTGGTAAATTTAACTATTCATTTATGATTGTTTACATGGATATATATATATATATATATATAATTCTAACTGGAATTTCATTTTTTCCACTTGGTAACTGTTTTAATCACAAATATAATAGACAATTTCAGCGAGACATTGAGTATCTTACGTAGACAATTGTTTATAAATACTTGTACATGTTTGATTATGGTTGTGGTCGTTCTCCAAGTTTCAGCTCCGTACAGTAGAACTGTCTTGACGTTCGTACTGAACATTCTAAATCTAATGTTGGCTTACAGACAGTTGTTTTGATTTCTATGTGTTCTTTAACTTGAGGAATGCTGTCGTTGTTTTGTCACTCCGTTCCGTCACATCCATGATGCTGTCCAGGTACGTGAAAGAATCCACCTCTTCCAGAGTTTCTTCATCAAGTGTGATTGTGTTGGTGTTCTGTGTGTTGTATTTGAGAATCTTACTTTTTCCATTGTGTATGTTGAGGCCTACTTCTGCAGAGGCTGTTACACTGGTTGTCTTCATCTGCATTTATTGATGTGTATGAGATAGAAGGGCTAGGTCATGTGTGAAGTGCAAATCGTCTAGTTGCATCCAACCTGTCCATTTTATTCCGTGTTTCTTCTCAGATGTCATGGTCTTCATAATCCTATCGTCCATGTTTTTAAAGTTTAATAGAAATAATCATGATTTTCAGTCTTATTTTTAGCTAAGAATTTGTCTCTATTTCTGTATTTAGCAGTACGATACTATTGTTCTCTTTATGGAAACTAAACAAATCGCTGATGTTCTAGTTATTAAATAATAGTTTCACTTAATTCATTGGTTTGAAATAATAAGTCTTACGGCTAGAACTTGCTACCTGTAACCCGTTTAGCACAAGAAAACATTAATAAACAAATAATTCATATATTATAGTGATCCCAAAGATATTAATCAGAGGATATTTTTAAAACAATAACCTATTTAATATATAACCTTTGTGATAGGCTATGACTGGTAGTAGGATTCAGGAAGCTCATTTTATCCAACACAGAAAGCACCTACATTCAAATGCCGATGTTCTCCTACGGATCAGAACTCAGTACTTATCAATCCAGGTAGATAAGCTTAGTTGACAAGGGTAATAAGTTAAGATAATCTTTTATTTGTTGAACTGGTAGGAAGTTATATGTAAGAATTGGAACTTTTCTAATGTTGATATAAAGGACTGCAATCGATCAGTCTCCATTGAAATATGTGTAGTAATCATTCTAGCAAAGTGAAACGTTGAAGTGTTCATACTTACAGTGATGTTCAGCTTCAAGTTAGATTGTTCACGTGTGAAAATTATCACATTTGAAGAGTAAGTACAAATGTGACATGACAAAAGATAAATTGTGCTTCACTGAAAATAAAAGAAAAGGCAGGTTTAGGATTTTTTCAGGAAACCACTCATTCTTTTAAGGTGTCAATGAGTGAATTATCAGAAATATTTCCCTTTAAATAAAACTTTCACGTTATATTATGAGATGATGTGAGTCCTCTGAAATAGTCATTAATTTGATACTTACTTACTTACTTACGCCTGTTACTCGCAATGCAGTATAGGCCGCCAATCAGCATTCTACAACCCACTCTGTCCTGGGCCTTTCACTCTAGTTTTATCCAATTTTTGTTCATTCTTCTCATATCTGTCTTCGTTTCTTGGCGTAATGAGTTCTTGGGTCTTTCTCTTCTCCTTTGGCCTTCAGGACTCCATGTGAGGGCTTGTCATTAATCTGATAATTCTGGATAAAATTGGTCATTAAAAAAGAAACATTACTTCTCTATCTTTTTCTCTCTTTATTTGTAAATTTAATGTTGGGATATATTTTCATAAATCTTTCAAGATAGTCGAAGTTATTTAGATTAGTCCTTGTACTGTTTATTATTTGTTTGTGATAAGGCAATCAAGGATTCGCTCAATTCTTGTTACAAATAATGATTTATATCACTTCAAGCTATTCTGTTTAGATAACAAGTTTCCCTTGCACTTCGTCTTCTCTTTATATTAGAGGCTAATTGTTAAAATGTTATGTGGTCGCCTTCATTATTGAGTCCGCAGTATAAACATGTGTAAATGAATAGCTCAATCATTCCTTAACTTGTAAGTATTGTAGACCAACCGGAAATCCAAATAAACAGAATAAATCTGCCAATAAATTATCATTCTTATCGAGATTTAACGATTTGTTCATTTACTCTTTTTGAAATTCTAAATACCTTTCAGTGAAAAAAATTTTCTATGACCAATTTTCTTTGTTAAAACTTTTGTTTAATTAGGTAAATGCATTTTCCCCTTTTGTTAATCTAGTGGAAACAAGATTATGAGAAGTCGATGACAGTTCGATTTGAATCTAATTACCGTGGAACATTTGGAGCTTTCTCAATTTCGGAATTTGAAGATTATTCATTAAAAATGGATAAATTGATGATTGAAGTGAGTAACATATGAAAATTAGAAAAAAATAATAAATGTGCATTAAATAAATTTCTCATTCAGGTTTGCATTTTCATATCAGTTTGTCAAAGCTATGCCATATAGAGTTAATAAGTCGAAAGGTAATCAATACTCGTTCGTTGTTGTCTGTTGTATAAATAAGTATTCAGGATTGATTGTTTTCTGTCAGATAATGTAGTGCCGTGCTTCGTTATTCGTTCACCTTGATAACCGTTATAATTCCAATTTTAACGGTGCATAAAATCAGAAGGCAAAAAGAAGCAGCAACTACAGTTTATTGCCAAATAACTCAGGCTAGAAAGCTAACAGCACCAGAGCGAATATCAGCGAGCGAGTGAGCAGCAAGCAATTACATAGGCAATTTATAGTCAAATCTAATCAGGGCACGGGAAAACAAAACTAAAGCTGATAATAGGCTTCGCGTGCATACATGTATGGGGAGGTATATGAGTTATCGAATGATACTTAAGTAATCAACATTTTGGCTAGTGTCATGTGCTCTAGCGGTAATAACAGTACAAAGAATATGCAAATTGTTATAATCCAAATGACGATGTCTGTTTAGTAAGTTAATAAAAAGGCTTAACCAAAATTAACCATAACCGAAATCGATCGTAGGATGGTTGCTATAATATCATTAAAGATATATCTGGAGCTCTTCCTTGCAATCTTACTAATCAGTGATTTGCTTCTAAATCTCTCCTCGTTGGATAATTTAGATTTATGTGTTTACTCATTGTTTTAATCTTAAGAAGTATGTTATACTGTCAAATAAATCTATATATATTATTGTATAATTCTTAATTATTTAGCTTGAATGTTGTGGGTTAAGCGGTTATCAAGACTTTTCAAACACACGATCACGTTGGTATCTGGAAGGTCGAAAATATTCAGACGGTACTAGTGGTGATGCGATTAAAATTCCACCAGCTTGTTGTAAATATACTTCAAAAGATTTTTTGAGAAGTGGTAAGCTAATTCCATTTTTCAAGCAGAGAGTTTATCTTTTAAACAATAAATTTCTATTATTATAAGGATTTGTGAAGATTTTAGTCGTAGTAGTAGTAGTGGGTGCATATTGCTAAGGAGCCTCATACTAGGAAGAAACAGCTGCTTAGGGCTTGGTCTAGGTTAGATGGACTCGTGAATTCAACTGTTAAAATACATTTTTGAACAATACATTTTACATACATACAATAATAAGTAATTTTCCTCTATCATCATATCAATTTATCAAGTTACTGATAAGCTATTAGTATCATTTCATAAAAACAAAATTGTAAACTCTTTTTTACATTTAAAAAAAAGCATGAATGTTGAAATGTTTGTAGTCGTGAGAAATGAAATATTGAATACATTTTATTGAGATCATAAATCAGTCTATGTTAGACAGCCATTGAAAATTAGGCCAGCTACTCTGCTCTAGAATGGGATTCCTTAGCAGTATAAACTCACGACCCCGCCAAGACGGATCGAACCTTGAACCTTTTCTCTTGAGCAAGAACGGTATACGAGTGTAAATTCAGTCAGTCTGCGTTTTTCCAATAGTAGTCTAACTTAGGTTTGTGATGTCGATAAAATTCATTTTTTCTAGTAGATTTCAATCAAGACAATAAAATGTAGGAAATGCATTTTACTCTTTATTCTTATATAATAGAAATGTATCTAAGGGATGATTATTAACCTATCTGTATTCAAACCCTTGATTTAATCATCTTATTAATTTATATTCCTGCTAAAAAAAGCATTGCTCGAATGAACCAAACAGTTTTAAGTAAGATATACACATGATACAATCCATGAATATCTATTTTAATTTTCACCACTTAGTCAGGGTTAAGGCACACATCCTTTTAAAAATTATTTCAATTAGAAAAAATGTATTCGAAAGGGAAGTTCATAAAAAGTAACTAATAGTATATTTAATTATATCAAACTATTTAATGTTGTTCACTAACATTTGGATAATAATGTATGAATAATATGTTAGTTAACCTATGGTATGTACTACTTACTTCAATGGTCACAAGTAGTATGTAATAGTAACCAGAAGAGAAATGCATAGTAGCAGAAGACTGTGAAGTTTGACTTAAACAAAACATAAATAGAAAGGAATTGTGACTTGGAAAAATCATACAGAATGTGAAGGACAAATAAAGGAATTTCGCAAATAAAGTATTCAATGTATGGTTCTAATATTTTACCAATAGATTATGTAATTTACTGTTAACACTATAATCCGTTGTCCCAATCAGCATTTTCGTTCAATTCAAGTATATAAATAACTAGAGTTAATCCGTCGGTACGGATTAATTAACAATACTCTCAATAAGAAAATATTTAACTTTAATATCGTCAGCCAGTGTCATTGACATTACAATTTGTCTGTGTAAATTTAAGTTAATTCATTTATGAGAATGGACTTTTTGATGAAGTTTTATTCTTTGAGCTGGATGGTTTGGTCGTGGAGCTTTTTTTTAAAAATCTATCCGTTTCATCATACTGACTAAATGGATAGAAAAAATTGTCATAAAATAATTCTTATTACAGACTGATTTTAAACGATAACTCATTGAAAAATAAGGCATTACTTATGTGGAACTTGTTCAATAATATGCAATTATCATTCCACATAGTATGACAACTAAAACCTTCTGATTACGCAACGTATACGATACCTTCTTACAGTTATGTTAAAATATAACGACCCACAATTTTATCTGTAATACATTTATGTGTTATCACCTCATCTTTCAATGGATTGACTCAAAAAATTATAGCTGTCCCTACTAAGACATTAAATTGGAATAATATATTTGTAAAATCCCAGAAATTAATTCCTTGAAAAAGCTTGAACCAGATCGCCAGGCGAAACGTTGGATTTACTTAAATATTCATTCTTTGAGATTTTACAAATATATTATTCCTATTTAATGTCTTACATCAACTCGGCGCTCAAATACTGTGATACTATTCGCTCTAATTTAAACGAAAGTTCTTATATGTTCCCATTAAATATTTCAGAAAATTAAACTCAGGTTTACTCAATCTTTAAACTTCAATCAATATTAAACTCTGGTAAAACTTTATTTCCCTTATTATAGTAGATTTAACGAGTTATAATTTTTGACTAGCAGAAAAATGAATAATAAGTGAAAAGTACAAATTGATAGTGTAATGACAGGTGTACTAATTGTGATAAGAATAATAAAGGCTTGAATCAATGTTACATAATGGAAAAATAGGTCAATGATTAGAAAAATATAGACACTGAAATAATATTCATCGAAATTACAAGATTACGTAATAAGAAATATTTAGATAATTGGACGGTGAAGCGAATATTAGAAAAATTACAAATAAATAATTGATAGGGGGGTGAAGAAAAATAAACGAAGAAAGAGTATGGAAAATAAAATTATTTATTAAGGCCAAGAGAAATGAAAATAAACAAACACTAATTTTCAAAGTTGAAATCATTAGTCAATTGAAGCTAAGCTACCATCGAAAATCTGGAAGCACTGGACGGCCGTTTCGTCCTATTATGGGACTCCTCAGCAGTGCGCATCCACGAACCCACTCTCGCGGGATTCGAACCCAGGACCTACCAGTTTCGGCCGTCCAGTGCTTCCAGGTTTTAGATGGTGGTCTAGCTTCAATTGACTCATGATTTCAACTTTGAAAATTACTAAAATCTCCACAAATCCCTTTCTAAATATAATCATATGCTCACTAGTGACTGACTTCAAGATACATGTCCTGGAGTTCTAGTGGGAAGCAGTGACCAGTGGAGTTCAACCAAGTCTGTTGTGAGATATCAACTCACTGAAGACAATTGGTGAATGGTTGCTCAACTTCGTGGATCAGTTGAAGTTAGACATTAACACCGTTGGATGCCGGCCGGCTCAGTGGTCTATCGGTTAAGGGCTTCGGCTCAAAACTGGTAGGTCCTGGGTTCGAATCCCGCGAGAGTGGGTTCGTGGTTGTGCACTGCTGAGGAGTCCCATAGTAGGACGAAACGGCCGTCCAGTGCTTCCAGGTTTTAGATGGTGGTCTAGCTTCAATCGACTCATGATTTCAACTTTGAAAATTACTGAAATCTCCACAAATCCCCTTCTAAACACTAATTTGTTATTATTATTATTTTGTATTAAATTTACAGCTGATTATGGAAAATTCCAAGACAATATTAAAGATAAAGATTGTGTAAAAACAACAAGTGAATCAAATATGAATGTTGGTTGTTTAACTGCAGTAAACAATAAAATACAACAAAGAGCTCTCCCATTCATAAGTATTCCAATTGTAATTTTCCTGTTACAGGTATGGAACAAAAATGTTGATAGTTACTGTTGTCTTATTATTAATATTATTATTATTATTATTATTACCATTAGTAATATTTACAGGGTTCATTTATTGATGTTATTTTGTTTCATTGTATTAATTTTCAAAGATGTTAAATCAGTTTTCTCAATGGAACTCATTAATCAGAATAATCGGATAATATTAGTTTGACTTCAATATTGAATCCTCTAATTCAAACACATGTAGGAATAAAGAATTGATAATTGATTATCGACAAAAGATATTTTCACTATTGAAACTTAACTGAATAGTTAAGTAAGACTTCATCTTGATATTCAATAATTATAAGAATAAAATATGTCAGAAGGGGGTTTTGTGCGGAAAGTTTAGTAATTTTATAGTTAAATTCATGAGTTCATTAAAGCTAAACAACAATGGAAAACCTGAAAGCACTGGACAGCTGTTTCATCCCAGTGACTCATGAATTCAACTATAAAATTAATAAAATATAGATTTATATTTCATATTTACTATTCATTCATATTTATTTAATGCAAATTTATTATTAGTCGAAGCTATTTAATTATCAGAAGGGGTTTTGTGGATATATATATATATATATATATATATATATAATAGTTGAGATCATGAGTCGATTGAAGTTAGACCACCATGGAAATCCTGAAAGCACTGGACGGCCGACTTGTCATTTTGTGGAAATCCTCGGCAGTGCGCATCCACGACCTCGCCTCGCGAGATTCGAACTCAGGACCTACCAGTCTCGCGCCAGAGCACCTAACCGATAGAAAATTGAGCCGGCATCCAGCGGTGTTAATGTCTAACCTCAATCAATCCACGAAATTGAGCAACCATTCACAATATCATCAATGAGTTGATATCTCCCAACAGACCTGGTTGAATTCCACTGGATGCTGCTTCTCACTAGAACTCCAGGAAATACCTCATGGAGCCAGTCACTGATGAGCACATGATCATTATCAGAAGGGGTTTTATAGAGATATTAGTAATTTTATGGAGTTGAGATCATGAGTTCCACAATAGGACGCAACGGCCGTCCACTGCTTCCAGGTTTTCTTTGATGGTCTAGCTTCAACTGACTCATGCTTTCAACTATGAAAATTACTAAGTTAATGTTTCAAAGTTATTTTTCCCTCATATATAGAATTACAAATAAATAATTGATATACAATAGTTACTATTCAATCAACAAATTTATATTCTATAATTAAAATTGTTTTTCTTTATTTTAGATTGCTACTATTGGGCTCAGTATCTTTTTAATTTGCCGAATCAAGAAATGGGATAATGAACTCTACTATTAAAATTCATTTTCTCCCCCTTTTAATATTAATAGATGTATGTAAAACCTTGAAAAGTATTATAGATAAACAAACAAAGACATCATTTTTTAACGAATATACATATATGGTTATTATTATTGTTGTTGTTATATTACTAAATATCTGTAAACAGTATTTAATTTGTTTGTTATATCAGAATGAAATGTATACGGAAAAACCGGTTGTCATATTGAATGTTCATTTTGTTACCATTTAATTTAATCACTATCTTGTTTTTAAAAAAAAATAATGAAGCCAAAAAAAAAGATTTTTGTACATGTGTGTGTGTGTGAATGCGTATGGATATATATATATATATATATATATATATATATATATATATATATATATATATGCGCTTTTCTGTTATTGTAAGAATGTAATAATTTTTGGTTTGTACAGCCATCGAATATTTTCAATTATTTGATAGGTTAGATTGTTTTATAATTGCATATAAGCGTAGGCGCATTACTTTTTTGTTTCACTTCGTGTTATTACTTTGACCTATATATATTCCATGTTCAAATAATTGATTTTTTCGAATGTTATTTTAAATAATCGTTGTGGTTCAAGATCATGGAACTCATTATTGTTGTTCTCTTCTTATATATATACATATATATATTGGGGTAGCAATATTTTTCTAGAATAAATTAACATGAGCTTGGTTTCAATAAGTTAATGTACTTGTACTAGTGACTTCTATCACTATGGTCACCATAATATGAATCAGAATAGTTAATCTCTTTTATAGCAAACCTGTAGGCTTTTTTCTAGGATATTCTTTAATTTTAATACCAAGTTGTGTATGAGTATAATTCGGTTGATGTAAATACAACCACTTATACAAATCTCAGTGGTCTATCGGTTAAGTACTCTGGTGCGAGACTGGTAGGTCCTGGGTTCGAATCTCGTGAGGCGTGATCGTGGATGCGCACTTCTGAGGAGTCCCACAATAGGACGAAACGGCCGTCCATTGCTTCCAGGTTTTCCATGGTGGTCTAACTTCAATTGACTCATGATTTCAACTATGAAAAAAAAATTTACCAACTGAACAAACAATTTACTGTATCAATAATTTGTATTAGCTATTTTCGAATGATTGAGCAGTTGACAACTTGTTTCGTTTTTAATGCCTATTCTTACTGAACTTAGAGGTACATATTCGATAAGTCTATAACAATGTTTGACAGCATGTGATTAATGAATCGAGAAGTTTATGCTTTAAAAGCTTTAATCAAGAAGCCGTATATAGTAGCCTTGCTGTATTGTAGAGATAACACGCGTTTCATCAGATCCCAGTGTAATGAATAGATTATATTGAGATGTTGTCGGTAAACCTGATAAAATATAGAACACCTTATAATGCCACCTATATATCACTTGAAAATTCCCGATTTTAGCGGAATTATAAATCTAATTTTCTCTAATTTCTAAAATTTGTTTCTTAAATTAGAAGAATATGTGATTTTATGTAAATTTGGTATCTGAAGGCAAATAACTGGATGCATAGAATAAGGTGTATATAATCGAGCTACTTGATTGTTAACTTAATTTCTGTGTTATAATCTTCTGAGTTAAATTGTTTTTACAATTAGGTAACTATCACTCTAGCCAATTCCATTTTCCTAACAGTATACTATGGAACAGATAAGTATTACAGCTGAATTTTACATACTAACTGTAAATCCCTGAGACTGTCTAATACGTAGTTTGGTATTCAGGGATGGACCAGTAAGCAAATCAGACTGAACAAAACAAGAACACTTGAAGTCATATCATATTTGTGGTTTTAATTAAGCATGTACTAATGTTCAAAACAATTTTTGGTTAGCACAAACACTACGTACATACTGCGGAACAATATTACAGTCTGAGAACATTTAAACTTTATTCAAATAATTACCATTGAGAATATTCTACAATTATAGAAGAAATTCAGTTAATCTAAAGTGAGTAGCTAATGAATTCAATAATTTAAACATGGCAATAAAACTGTGTTACAATCATCCATCATATATGGTTGAGCTTGATTCCATTGAGTGAGCTGCAATTGATTAACTCATACTTTAAACTTTCTACAATCGGTTCACTAACATGAATAGTTTTGTGCTAAAAGTCACTTTCAAAATACATTGAAATCTTTCTTAATCTTATCTAACAATACTCATATCAATAATAGCTTACTGACAGTATTAGATTAGGGCCATTCTGAATTATGGGTTGAATAATTTTTTCTGTTTAGCGTTCTTTTAGTGAGTTGGTTTTCTACGGGATGAGGTCGTTAACCCCATGCCCAACCCTCCTCCTTTATCCGGGCTTGGGACCGGCAGTAGCCCCCAGAGGAGCTACGGGCGAAGTTGGAGCTGGAGGGAGGCACGGGATACAGTGGACAGCTAGGATGCAGTTGAACGATTTAGACTTCACAGATGATCTGGCTCTTCTATCACACACGCAAAAACAAATGCAGGAGAAGACGACCATTGTAGCAGTAGCCTCAGCGGCAGTAGGTCTCAATATGAACAAAGGGAAAATCAAGACTCTCCGATACAATACAACATGCACCAATCCAATTACTCTTGACGGAGAAGCTTTGGAGGATGTGGAGACCTTTACATATCTGGGCAGCATCATGGATGGACACGGTGGATCTGATGCAGATGTCAGGGCGCGGATCAGCAAAGCAAGAGCAGCATATTTGCAACTGAGGCACGTCTGGAACTCAAAGAAATTGTCAACCAACACGGAGATCAGAATTTTCAATACAAACGTGAAGACAGTTCTACTATATGGGGCGAAGACGTGGAGAACTACGAAGGTCATCATCCAGAAGATATATTTTTCTACTAACAGTTGTCTACGCAAGATACTTCGGATTCGTTGGCCAGAAATTATTAGCAACAACCTACTGTGGGAGAGAATAAACTAGATTCCAGTGGAGGAAATCAGGGAGAAGTGGTGGGAGTGGATAGAACACATATTGAGGAAAGCACTCAACTGCATCACGAGGCGAGCCATCACATGGAGTCCTAAAGGCCAAAGGAGAAGATGAAGACCAAGGAACACATTGTAGTATCGGTTCTTATGTTAAGCCCATATACTTTATTCTAGTTACTGGCCAAGCCTATATGTGTATATGTGTTCCCTTCGTATCTTACTCATCATATGTCTGTCATTTATTTTTGTCGGATTATAAATATTGAGTAATGTTTGCTCATAGCGAGTTAGCTTCCCCGCCATCTCCAATACGCAATAATTTTGCTTTGCTCTGGAGTTGGCTTCCTAGCCATCTCCACTGCATGTCATTTATGTTCCGCTCTCATCTGTTTACTTCATCGCTCTGATTCCCTGGCCAGATCAATTAGTGTAGGAAATATATGTATTCTAAATCCATTCTCTTATTTGACTTATTTAATTCCGTTATTGACCAACGCAGATAAAGTCATTTATTACGTACGAGGATAGACAGTACGTACAATCAAAAAGGAATCAGATTTAGGCCACTACAACATTACTCCGAGAAATGGAGACAGACATGAGAAGAATGAACAAAAATTGGATAGAAGTAAAGTGAAAGGCCCAGGACAGAGTGGATTGTAGAATACTAGTCGATGATCTATGCTGCAGTGGGAGTAACAGGTGTAAGTAAGTAAGTAATTCTGAATGGTAGGACAAGTTGAGTTTAAAAATACCGAACAGTAAATTAAAAATTTACTAGTCCTTAAGTTCTATACTGGTTATATAACCTGTAAATCATAAATCTAATCGTTTCAACTATGACTACTCAATAATTAGAAGCTTCAAAAATGGTCGAATCAGCTGTTAAGTCTTTTCTACGATTTAATATTACAAGGGGGGGGGGATTTGTCGAGATTTCAGTATTTTTCAAAGTTGAAATCATGAGTCAATTGAAGCTAGACCACCATCGAAAACCTGGAAGCAGTGCGCATCCACTGCTGAGGAGTCCCATAATAGGACGAAACGGCCGTCCAGTGCTTCCAGGTTTTCGATGGTGGTCTAGCTTCAATTGACTCATGATTTCAACTTTGAGATAAAGATGAAAGTCAATAATAATGGTCATAAATGGTATCATTATTTTAACCTTGAATATTCATTGATAACAAATGTCGACAAATGTTTGTTTGTTTTTTTCAATTTAGTTACTATTTATTTTTTTTTAAACTGACCAAAGTCTATAGTCAATTATTTAGTACTCTAGAAACTAAGTAACAAATTCCGAACTCATTTTACCTTCATCAAAATACATGAGTATCCTTGTGGTTAATTATAAATAATGGTTAATATTTATGAAAAAAAATATCTGAAGGCATGTTAAAATATTAAACTTCAAATAAATCAATAATTTTTTTTGTAAATGTTCATGTATAACCGAATAGATTTTTTAAAATTATAAATTACTATTCATTTATAACAATTAGCTATTTTGTACAATGATCAAGTAATTAATGTTAGTTACATAATCACCCTACAATGTAATATTTAACACTATATAAATGTTGGAGAAGATTTGTAGCTCAGGTGAATGATTTTGATGGAATTTTGTTCTCTGAGTTGGATGGTTTGGTCGTGGAGCTTTCATCCTCCTTCTGAACGACATCATCAGCACAAACTTCGGGCTGATGATGTCGTTCAGAAGGAGGATGAAAGCTCCACGACCAAACTATCCACCTTTGAGTCTCGCGCTCGAGCGCCTAACCTCTAGACTACTGAGAAAGCATTTTAAGGTGTTAATGTTTAACTTCAACCAATCCACGAAATCGAGTAACCATCCACCATTGTCTTCAGTGAGTTGCTATTTCACAGCAGACCCGGTTGAACTCCACTGGTGACTGCTTCTGGCTAGAACTGCAGGAAACACCTCTTGAAGCCAGTCACTAGTGAGCATATGTTTATTAACAGAACGGGTTTTGTGGAGATTTCTTTAGTAATTTCTTTTATAGTTGAGTTCACAAGTGGATGCT